TATTAAGTAGATGTTCATTTTTTATGATCTAAAAACGTTTAGAAAATGCCTACGTGATATCTTAGCATACATTCGGTTGAACAAAAATTAAAAATTTCATTGTAAAATAACGAGTAACCCAGAGTAACCATTACAAAATGCCATACGAAATACGAAAAAACCGGCATAACGTCTAAATTTTTGGCGGTATTAACCCGTTTCACTCGGATGCCGCCGCTCTGGCGATAAAATTCATATAAATCTCGGAATTAGCGAGTGGAAAGGGTTAATACCAATATGTACTTTTAAAATAACATAAGTTATTTTTAACACAATAAAATAAGTTTTTGGTATTGAAACATAAGCGCTGTTGATATCTGTTATACACTTGAATTTAAGTTGCTCGGAAATATTTAAACTTTAAATCTCATATAACAAAAGTCTTTTTAGATTCTTCTTTTATATGAACAAGGGTCGAATTATTATCTCGAACCGCCATTAAATTGGATATTTATTGCTTGCATATGCATTTCGGGTTTTGAGAGAACGGAGTCTTCGATTTGAATGATTCAAAAAACATTTCACTTATATTGACGTAATAAGCAATCACTTGAATTTTGGCAAAGGCATGTCGAACGGTTTCGGAGATCCAAAGGTAAAGTTTAAAAAATGCTATTTGGCATTTGGTTGAAAATCAGATATTTTCGACGGTATAGATTAACCGATATGAATGGAAATTGAATTTTCACTATATAAATTTCTGAAATTTTCAAAAATGTTCAAAAAAATTTTTTCCTGAGCTCTTAAAAAATTTAGATTACAATATGGAAAGTTCCACCAGTTATTGAATTTTGGTCACATTTTTTAAAATAATATTTTTAACTCGGATGGGAAAGTTCATATAAATCTCGGAACTCGCGAGTGGAAAGGGTTAATACCGATATTTTATTAAAAATACCTGGGAAACCTTATTCGAAACATTGGGTTTAGCGAAGTCCACTAACTTAAAACGTGATAATCGACTGTTACTCGTGTGCCTCCGTGGCGCAATCGGCTAGCGCGTTCGGCTGTTAACCGAAAGGTTGGTGGTTCGAGCCCACCCGGGGGCGATTTTTTTTCAAAAAATGCAAAAAAAAAATGGATAGAAAATTGTCTATGTATTAAATTTAACCCTTTCGACTCGGATGCAGCCGCTCCGGCAGCGGCAAAATACATACAACTTCCGGAATTAGCGTGTGGAAAGAGTTAAATTTAATATTGTGGTTATTTTTATGCAAAATTAACTCTTTTGACTAGGATACCGCCGCTTTGATGGCAAAATTCATACAAGTTTCGGAAATCGCGAGTGGATAGTGTTAAAAATAATGGAATAATGCAGTGGCGTCGGAACCGTGTGGGCTGTGTGGGCTTGAGCCCACCCATCAATCTCAAAAAATGATGTCTAAAAAAACGAAGCCACTGGCTGCCTATCAAAAAAAAAAAAACGAGCCCACCCATAAAAAATTTGCTTCCGACGCCACTGGAATAATGCAAAATTGAAATGAATGGTATTCTGATTGTTATTAAAAAAAAATAATAATAAGAATAGTATAGTTTTAGATGTCTCTTTGCATATCGTCTGTTATTAGCGTAGTGATATAAATAACCGTAAGAAGACAATCTTGGTATCTGGGGATATAGCTCAGTGGTAGAGCATTCGACTGCAGATCGAGAGGTCCCCGGTTCAAACCCGGGTGTCCCCTAATAATATATTTTATTTATTTTAATTATAAATGATCATTGTGAAAGGAATAATTTTTGGTATAGGTTCCCAAACTTTTTTGCGTCGTGGACCTTTTGGGCTTAGCAATAGACTCTCTGTTTACACGATATTGATTGTTTTTATAAAATTGTAATTGATAATTACAATAAACAAAAATAATAATAATGAAAAAGTAAACGAGAAAAAAAATGTACAACTATTAATTTCATTTATCTTTAGTATAAATTTTATTCAGTTCATAAAGTAACACGAAAAGCAACGCTAAAATTATAAGCAGCTTTGTTGGATTTCACATACGTATATTTAGCGTTGTCCATCAACGGGGATGTAGCTCAGTGGTAGAGCGTTCGCTTTGCATGTGAAAGGCCCCGGGTTCGATCCCCGGCATCTCCAAATATTTTTGCCCCTAGACAAAAGAACAGTATTGTTTTACCATATAACAATAGCATTTTACTGTAATTAATATAATTAAAATAATTTATTTTGCGTAATGAGTGATATTTACGCAATATAATAAATTACTGCAATACAATAAAATATTTACTATGGAACCGTTCAAGTATTACGTAAGCACTATAGGGGGGAAGGGGGGTTATTGATTTGCTTATTTTCGGTAAGAAATTTGCTACTTTTGCTGACAAAGGGGCGGGGGGAGGGTAAATAATTGTAATAAATCTGCTTACGTAATACTTGAACGATCCCTATGTATTTTCATTTATAGCAACAAAGTAGCATTATTTGTAATCTTACCTGTTTGTGAATTTAAATACTAAATATAAAAACTTAAAATATTATTATTGTGATTATTATTAATTAATCATTACTAAATAATAATTATTAATTTAAAAAAATAGTTTTCTAGGTCATTCGACCCAGTAGGCTCCGGCGAGATTCGAACTCGCGATCTCCTGTTTACTAGACAGGCGCTTTAACCAACTAAGCCACGGCGCCGTTGTGAGCAGCCCAATGTAATGCGCAATATAACTAGCATATCAACGGAACACAATATTACGCCTAAAGTTAAGCGAACATCATAGATAAAAAAGTATAAACGGGTAACATGGTAACATATATTAATTTCAAATTCCCGTAGGGTGTTATAGTAATCACAAGAAAATCGATGAAAATTTTTCCATATCTTTTCGTTTCTGAACATATTGGCATACCCTAGAAAAAAATGTTATATGTTTGCTCGAATACAAATTTTCGTCGACGCATTCGGGAACACGTATGAATCTATTTGAATAATTAAAAAAAACATTTGATTCGTATTAACGGGGAGACGTGCTGATTAGTTTTTGGCAAAGCCGAGTCCAGCCCTTTCGAAGATACCAGGCAAAAAGGTCCAAAAATAGTAACTCAGTTTTTGAGAGAACGTCCGATTTCATTCATTCAAAAAGCATTTTATTTGTATTGACAAAACGAAGATCTGATTGAATTTTTGAGAAGGCAGTTCTAGTGGTATTTGAATAAGAAATATTCAAAATTAAGAATGATTCAAGAAGCATTTTATTTGTATTGACGAAACGAAGATCTGATTGAATTTATGAGAAAGCAGTTCCAGCGGTATTTGAATAAGAAATATATAATTAAAATATATGAGTTTGTTATCCAAGGGTATTTGGGTATTATACACTCGCAATATGTAATAGATGGGGAAAAAAGTAAACAGATCAACAATTCCCCAAAAAAGACCACATTTCAATGATTGCGAAGGTTATTACACGTTAGACATCATAACTCTCTAACAAAGAACAATTTTAAAAATTTAAAATTAATTTTCCGTACAGGAAGTTCCAGCCATTTGCCTTAAGGCACAATGCCATGCTTCTGAACCATTAGTTAGGGGGCGTACACTAATGACGTGATCGATTTTGTAAGGATTTTTGGACTTTTCCTCCCCTTGGTGACACGTGGTAATATTCAAAATTACGTCCCACTATAATTTCCCACACTTTTTTGCGTCCTGGACCTCTTGGACTTTGCAATAGACTCCCGTGAATCGTGATCGATTTTTTAAGGATTTTTGAACCCCTCCTCCCTCTTGGTGACACGTGGTAATATTCAGAATTACCTCCCACTATGGGTTCCCAAACTTTTTTGCGTCGTGGACCTCTTGGTCTTTGCAATACACTCCCGTGAATCGTGATCGATATTTTAAGGATTTTTTAATCCCTCCTCCCCCTTGGTGACACGTGGTAATATTCAGAATTACCTACCACTATAGGCTCCCAAACTTTTTTGCGTCGTAGACCTCTTGGTCTTTCTGATTTTTTAAGGATTTTTAGTGACACGTGGTGATATTCAAAATTACTTCCCTCCAGTACCAAAAATCCCGTATATTTTTAGTTACAAGAAAAAATTGTGAAGCTTTCGATTTTTTTTTTCAAAATGTTTGGATTCTTTTTTAAAATCTGGTTTAAAATAAATACAAAGTGATATCTTACTATACCCCTCCCTCCCCCAGGGATTATTAATGATTTTTTGTCAAACCACGCTACTTCTCCCCAAAAATCTCACGGCCCAGTAGATAAACAAGTATCAAGAAGGGTATTTGGGTATTATACTCTCGCGATATGTAATATATGGATAAAAAATGGAAAAAGATCAGCAATTATCCAAAAAGAGCGCCCCCTTATGTTAGTTTTTGACAGCTCTTAGTTGACAGACCTGAAATGTTACCCACTTGCGCAAACACTTTGAATCGTCTACTGCGCATGTGACAGTAACGTCTGTTACCGAATTGCGCCAATTCTTTGACATCGATTTGCTTGAAGAAGAATCGATTAAGTAGTTATTGATTTTAATCGATATCGATTATTTTTTTTCATTGCAACTATATTCACAGCGATTTTTTGTGACAGCCTAAGAAAGGAGGTTATGGTCAGTATCCCACGTGCAATTGAGTACCCTAGACAATATAATAATATTGAGTGCAATTGAGTACAATGTGAGGATTTTACCGATGGGCCCCATCGACAGAACTGGGACCCCAAATAGTATCTTTACTGCACCGGAAAATTTGCTGTCATCCTGCGATTTCACAAGGATTTCAATGTAAGTACTGAAACTCAAACTACTTAGCACATATCTTTACTCATAACAATATTTAACATGTTACATTGTTTAATTTTTTAACCCTTAATGGAAATTGATTTGTACTGTAACAAATTGCCTAAACCATTTAACCAAGCCAAGGCTTTTAATCTGATCTAAGATTTGTACATGTTATATTTTTATAAAAAAAACACATTTTATCAAATTGTTCCAAAACCATCATTTATTTATTCATTTGTAGAAATTGAGGTGTTAAATTGACTCCAATCCTCTTAATAATGTCGGCTGCTACCCTACTTCCAAATTCTGAACAAGTTCGTAAAGTATTGTCCTGCAAGAATTTATATAAGAAGCCAGCGAGGAATGCATCACCTGCACCTGAAATTGAAAACAAAAGTAAGTCCATTTTCATGTATTCCACAAATTTTTTCTAGATTCATTTAAAACCTGTTGTATCTTTTATAAGCGCCGATGGAATTTTCTCGATTTCAACAGACATTTTGCAAATCTTTTCATCTTGTTGGTGAAATATGGTAACTGGTTTTGAAGCATCAGTTGCTATAACTATCTTACTTTTGAAACTAGTGCATTTCTTTTTTAGAGGCTTGTAAACTTTAATCAAATGCTCCATAACACTATCCAAGTTATTGAAATTATAAGCCTTGCCTAATTCTAAAAATTGCTCAGCGTTTCCAAAGACTAGATCTGCAGATTCTGCTAGCGTTTTACATTCATTCGGATAATTTTTGCAAATATAAGTACCACTTAAATTCATTATAAACACTATGCCGTTCTTTTCACATATATCTTTTAATAGATATTCACATATTTGATATCTATTGGGTATAAAAAATCCTTCTACATATATAAAACTAGTATTAAGTACGTCTTGCATCAAAGATTTAGTTACAAAATCTATTTTATAATGCATTGCTGCACCGATATCAGCTATTAAACAAGAAGAGTCTTCGTGCGTTAAACATAAACAATTTGCAGTTGATTGATCTGGAATGACTTCGTACCTAAAAAACGAAACTATTAAGACATTGATTCACAGGTACATCATACATTTTCTTGTTTGTCTGGTTCTATCTTTTTATCTAGTTATCTATGCTTTCCTTTTACATAATTTATTATTATGTACCTTGTATCGACACATGAGGGTGTCAGTAAATTTAAGAGAGTTTTACCATTCGAATCATCCCCAATTGAACCGCAGTGCATCACTCGGTAATCAGGTTGTAAAAGCAAACATAAAATTCTTAAAGAATTCAAGGCAGATCCTCCTGGGTTTATACTGCTCTTACCTTCAGATAACCTAAAACATGTCATATTTACATGTCTGCTTAAACTCTAATTTTGTAAAAAAATACTAACTTTAGAGCATCTTCTTTAATTTTTTCAATATGTTCAGATGGTCTCTCTTCAGGTTGATTTGCATCGAGATTAAATTTTGTAAATATATCATCGCTATTAATTTTAATAGTTACATCTAGTATGGGATTTCCGAAGGCAATTAGTAGAGGATGAGATTTGCTGAAATTAAATTGATGTTGAGAGAAATATTATATTTTAAATCTTGATTGGCTACATATTCATTGGATTTGAGACGATAATTCTTGCATTCAATGTTGCAAGATCTAATTGGTTTGTAACAAACAATTATCACCATGTATGTACCATAACGTTAATTTATAGAGAAACAATATTAAATAATATCGTTTTTAAAATAACAATGAATTAGTAGTATGAAAAATTTACAACTTCATTAAACTTACTTTTGGTAAGCAAGGTTAGGAAATTTTACACCACAATTCATATTGAAATAATTAAAACAAAAACTTTATTTATAAATTATTTCTTTCTATTTCAACCTTTCCACTTGTCCATTAAATATTTTACCTATTTAATAGTTTTATGGAATGCTTCTGACAAAATGTCATTTCATGCTTAGAGTTTTTGTTTGGATTGGTTTATACATTGACAGTTCAGGGCTCTGCAACCTTTTTAGTTTTTAACTTCCCGTGGGGTAAGTTAAACTAATGGTCGAAAATCGAAAATGAAAATGTTTGCATATCTTCACGTTCCAGCGGTTTCTGAACATTTTGACATATATCAGAAAAAATGGATGTGTGTGTGTGTTTTGTATGTCCGCAATTTTTCGCCCACGTTTTTCGGGCGCACGGATCGAGCGATTTGAATGGTTTAAAAGACATTCGATTCCTATTGATACAGAGATGTGCTGATTAATTTTTTGCAAAGGCAGGTCCGGCCGTTACGGAGATACGTAGCAAAGATGTAGAAAAGATAAATTGAGTTTTTGAGGGAACAGAGTATCCGATTTGAATTATCCAAAAAACATTCAAATTGTAATGATTGGGAGAAGTGGTGATTAGTTTCTGGCAAAGGCAGCTCCCGTCATTTCGAAGATAAAGAGCTAAATGTACAAAAATTGGCAGTTTTATTTACTTTTTTGTAAAAATACATTAGCTGCAGATTTTATAATAATCTATTTGAAAACATTAAATATTTATTGAATACTTCATTACGGTACGGAAAGTTCCAGCTATTTGCCTTAAGGCACGATGCCATACACCACTAGTTTGATTTTAAATTGTATTTATAATACATACTAATAATTTAATTTAAATTTTTAATAATATATTATTATCAATAAATTTATTACTAATTATATTTTGTTTTGCATTTTTATTAGTGATGTGGGACAATAAATGTTCATCTTATGGCGTTTTGAAATCTTGGTTAAAAAATCGGTGGTCTTTTGATAGTGCCAAAAAAAACTTTAAATTTATCAAAAAATGTTTAAGGAAATGATGTTTACTATGAATTTTAACTTTTTTTTCAAACCAAAATCTTAAAAATTGAAATAAGCAAGTTAAGGAATTCAAAGAGGTTTTAGTAAATTTGTAAGAATAGGATTTTGTATCCAAATTTTCATATTTTAAAGTTTTTTTCAAATTCAAACTACAATTAAACTTCAAGTTGAACATCTGGATTTTTATATTTGCTGACGGTTTTACTCCCATGACTACATCTTTTTTCATCACTGAGATATGAGATAAGAACGGTTTGTTAGATAAGATATGATTGATATCAACTGTTGTGATTTCAATAAATCACGGAAAATATTTTAAGATATCAAATAATTATAATTGATAAAATAGCAAATTCATTTAATGGTATTTATTCACATATTTTACATATAACTTTTCATTAAAAAAAGCTACACTTTTGGCGTATGACGAGTAAATCCTCTACTTAATGTAACTCCATATTGGTCAATGATATCAGCAGATACCTTTGACCCAAAAACTGCGCATCTGAGAGGAGATTTATTAGCCAAATATCCTCTCAAAAATCCTGCCAAAAATGAATCACCAGCGCCTATAAAAAATAAATGTATCATTAAGGATCATAAAATATTTGTTAAATTGTTTTATGTATTGGCAGATATTTATTAAAGTATTATATATTTTTCATTATGCTATTGTTTTTATCCAAGTAAAGCAACAAACGGCGGTTATTGCTGTAAAATTGGTTGGTTGATTGCTAGATCAGTTGATATTTTATGTTTAGCTCAATATTTTTACCTGTAGTATCTTTTATATCTTTCTCTTGAATGAGAGGTGGTTGATATACTTCATAGCAAAGGAAATCCTTCTTGGTGTTGTACATCATATGGATAGGTTTAGAGCCATCGGTTGCTACTGCTAGTTTACTTTGGAAATGTTTACATCTCTTCTTAACGCAATCATGCCCTTCGAACGTTCGTTCCATAATTTCCTTTAAGTTTTTCGTTTTATAAACTTTTCCCAAATCCATAAACTGCTCAACATTTCCAACGACAAAATCGGATTTTGAAGTTATGAATTTAGATTCTTTGGGGAAAGTGGTACTGATGTAAGCTGCGCTCAAATTCCAGATAAATACATTATCTTGTTTTGCACAAACATCATCCAAAAGATATTTGACTTCTTTAAATCGACCGGGAAGGAAAAATCCTTCTACGTAAATGAAATGCGACTTATCGTAGTATTTTTGCATTTTTTTGGTGCACATGTGCTCTAATATATAGTTCTGCGATGCACCAATATCAGCAATTAGACAAGCATTTTCTTTCCAAATTAAGCACAAGCAAGTACCTGTCTGAACTTTAGGTATATCCACAAGTCTGAAATGATTGGAAGCGGAATTAAGGCAAACATTTTATTGCAGAGAATATTTTTATCTAAAATCATTAGTGACATCTTAAAACAATTTATCAATTTAAGAAAAGTTGGATTTACTTTTGATTTATATGGAATTATTAAAATATATACTATTTCCATTCATAAAACTTGCTCTGATGCGTCACGTAAAGATGTTAATAGTAATTGGTACTATCTCATAAAATTTATGAAGTAATTTTTATAAGTACTAGTGAGTGTGAGATTACAAAATATAGGTGCAAATAATTTTTTAAACTGTTGAAATGGCTTTCACATTGCTTTTTAAAAGGCATCCCAATGGCTTTACTATCTATTTTGATTTATTTTATATTAGAAGGCAATCCTAAGGTCCATTATGGTAATATAATAATAGACATGATGTAATCTTCTTGCACCATTCAAAAATATGTTTTCATTCGGAAGCATATTCTTTGGTCACAACTGCTTGATATCAGGTTGAATTTTCAAATCGGACGCTTCGAAGACTTTTGTTTTTAATATTTATTGCAGATAAGTTACGATTTCAACTTACTCGAGTTCTACATCTTTGACCATATTTCTCATGTTTTCTCCGTGTTTATCTCTACCAACGGCTCCGCAGAATAAAACAGTTTGTTTTCCCTTAAGAAGTGTGCCAAGAATTTTAGCCGTGTTTAAAGATGATCCTCCTGCACTTTCATGCATTTTTCCATTGGTTAATCTGAAAAACACGTTAAATGTATGGCAAAATTGGAATTAACTCTAGTATTTTCATTAAATCATATTTTTATACGTACTTGAGAGCATGTTCTCTAATTTGGTTAATTTCTTTTGTGGGCTTCAGATATTGACTGTTTGGTACTAAATTAAACTTTTTGAATATCGAATCATCTTTTAGTTTAAATGTCATGTCGTATATCGGATTTCCAAATGTTATGAGCAAGGGCCATTTTTTACTTCTGGAAAAAATAATAAAAATATTTATTAATATTTATAGCATATTCTTTACATAATTTACATGAGCATTTGGTTATGTATTTATTTCTGATTTATAGTATCTGTAAAACACTGTAAAATTATACTTGTTCATCTATGATGAAATCCAGAAAACGTATCAAATTAAAACATGTAAAAAAGTATCCACATTGGAAATCAAATTTATTCTTTAGTAGTATTTTTTGTTGTCACTCAAATATATTCTTTAGTAGCACTTTCAAACAAATTAACAGATAAAATAATTTTTTTTTAATGATTTATCTTGAGAAAAATTGCCAGTCGATAATTTGGTTCAAAAAATTTTACTTATCGGTTTAGTACTTAATTGTTAAAATATAAAAATATTAGATTAATGGTTAGGTATGTTATTAGAGTTTTTCCTTTATGATACATTTTTAAATATATTATATTTGTAACTGATAATATCGAGTTCTATAATCTTAAAGTTTCAAATATTAATTAATAAAAAAATCAATTATTTATTCAATTAATTTTTTTATGATTATTATGTATTTGTCATAATTTTGATACGTATCAGTTTTGTGCTTAATTAGTTTTGCTATATAAACTGTTTTAAAATCTTAAGGGGGTATTTTAGTGTAGAAATTCAAAAAAATGTTTTTTTTTTCATATTTTCAATTTTTAACTATTTACGAATATGTACGAGAGATTTTTTTAAATTTAAATTATTTTCGAAGATATGGCTGTTTGTTTGACCATAATAATCCTCATATATTTCTTTCCTTCTGCAAAATTTTTAACGCGTTTTTCTCAAAACTGTCTTTTTCAATACGATGTCTATGTCGATGTGTTGAAATTTTCAGAAAATCTTCTTTATAGACTTCTCTCAGACATAATACTAGCCTTATCTCAAAAGTTTAATTTTTAACTTCCCGTAGGGTAAGTTATTGTAATGGGCCGAAAATCGGAATTGAAAATTTTTACATTTCTCGACGTTTTGAAGGTTTCTGAACATTTTGGCATACCTCAGAAAAAATGGATGTGCGTGTGTGTATGTATGTAAGTATGGACACAATTTTTCGACCACGTTTTCGAGCGTACGGATCAACCGATATGAATGGGGTTCAAAAAACATTCGATTCCTGTTGATAAGCAGTTGTGCTGATTAGTTTTTGGCAAAGGCAGGTCCAGCAGTTACGGAGATAAAGTGCAAAGAGTGCGGAAAATAGAAATCGAGTTTTTGAGAGAACGGATCATCCGATTTGAATGATCTAAAAAACATTCAATTAGTAATGATTGGGAGAAGTGGTTATTAGTTTTTCGCAAAGGCAAGTTTTTGAGAGAACTAAGCGTCCGATTTAATTGATTCAAAGAACTTTCTGCTTGTCTTAACAAAATAATTGATTTTGGAAAAAAATTGTTTCAACTTCTTTTTTTTCAATTTTTTGTATATCGAAAATAATTCAGATTTTATTTTTAATTCTACTTACTAATATACTTTACAAATAATTTCAACTTTGCAATACAGTTTATATAATACTTATAAATATTCAGTTTATATATTTCTTATAAATATAATTTTTATAAATATTAGACAATGTAACAATAATTATAATAATCTATTTGAAAACATTCAGTATTCCTGGAACATTTCGTTACGGTACGGGAAGTTCCAGCAATTTGCCTTAAGGCACGATGCCACCCACCCCACTAGTTGATATTTTTAAAAACTACGAGGAACCCAAAAATGTGATAAGAAATTGATCCTTTTTTAAAACAATCATTTTGTCAACAATGGATTTTTTAACTTAATCTTAGTATATACCAAAGCGACATCGTTCTATATTAATTTTTTTTTAATTTCGAGTTTTTAGGTCTGCAATAGTGGGCATGTCAATGTTTGGAACCCCCACTTCAATAATTGCTACTTTAAAATTATTAGCTTTTGTTTGTTTTTACTTCATTTCTGCATTCTTGTAACCTTGATATATAAATTATAGAAATTTAGAGTAAAAATACATTATAGAAAAATTTATAGTAAAAAAATGATTGCCTTTTCTTTGTAATGATTTAAAAATGACCTAAAACTTTCTACACTAGTATAACCCCTTAATAAAATAAGATAGATGCAATTTTTTTTTTTTTTTTTTAAATCTTGATATCAAGTTTTATAACCCTGATATTTCATTTGATTTGCTCATTTATCATTGCGCAAGTCCATTATTACAGGTGACACTCTGTCTGTAAAAAGCGCGTGTCATATCTTATTACTGCATGGTAGCCATGTAGTTTTTAGGCACGTTGTCCAATATATTTTATTTTGAAACTCAATATTATTAAAAACGATATCATCTTATTTTATTTCATTTATATTATTTTTCACATAAACGGGGAAAAATCAGTCGTGGGATTACATCTCATAAATATGATATTTAGGTAAATGATACTTTGACATACTGAATTCAGGACGTATGAGGATATTTATCATTTAGGGTTAATATTTGTTTATGATTTTCGGTCTGGTTTTAAATGCTCTTTTAGAAAAAGAAGTAAAAAAGAACTAGCAAGGAGAACCTTATGGTAATTCTTATGGGATTTTGATGAAACTTTGCATTGGGATGGATTTGATAGTCAAGCCTAAAAATATTATAGGTTTATGAGAAGAGGTTTAATTATAATAATCAATTGAAAAATAGGCTGCGCGTTACTAAAAAGTTTTATCATTTCTGATGATGACCACTTTAGTCCTGAATTTTTTATTATCTGAACATTTTTGATTATATATTACAGCATGTAAAACAATATATTTCTATAAAGTTGACAACGAATTGAAAAATGTGTGATTGGTATCGAATTATGCTATATAAATTAAAGGGCAAACCGAATTTTTTTCATATCCGAAGTAAATTTTTGCAAATAACCGACATTAATATTATGATCTAACATTAACTCAAGAAATACAGTAACCCTTTTTCATTACTTCACATTTACTATTAATTTTCTTGGTCTAATTAAAATTTCTTGAACCAGTCTCATCAAAATAAATTGACACAGTATTGGCAATAATTTATTTTTTCTATTTTATTCTGTTTTTATTGAATTTCATGCTAAGGGATTCTTCTGACTAATCTAATTTTTTTTTGTAAATAATACAGGTAATAATGAGATGATTATTAAACCATGTTGTAAACTTTTATTATCAATTTTCTTTATTTCTGAATGATTATATGGACGTGTTAAAAGTTGCAACTTCTGTGGCTCTGACAAATAGTTTTCCGAAATAAAAAATAATTCCAAGAAACAATTTGAGAAGGAATGTATTTCATTTTTTAACAATTAGATAAATTAGCCTACGTGCTCTAATGAGATTTGAATAATTGTTCAAAGTAAGCGCTTACATCGCATAAGTTGAGCGCGTGTGGTATATCGAAATTCAATATATGTGAAATGTTGGTCGAATGTATTTACTGAAAATTCTCACGCTAATTTACATCAGCGAGTTTTTTAACCTCAAGAATGATGTAAAATTTTTGTGGAAATGATAATAAATTAGACTAGAGTCTAGAGAAAATTTGAATTTTTACGAAATATCGAAGCGCGTAAGCACCTTCTTTACTCAAATTCTGAAACCGATAGACCTGCCCATTCCCAAAAATTTAATCAATTCATAATTTTGTCAATACAAGTAAAATGTTTATTATGGAAATCGGACGCTCCGTTCTCTCAAAATCTGAAATAACCATTTTTGGTACTTTTTTCCCCGTATGTCCGAAACGACTGGACCTGCTTTGACGAATGTGTTTTGAATCATTCAAATCGGTTGGATCGTGTTCCCGAGCATTGACGAACTCTTGCAATTAAACCACATTCCGCGTTACATTGTTTTAGGTTGTTTGTTAAGACTATGTCTTGCATAAAGTTTCATCAAAAAAATTTTTCAATAATTAATTACAAAGAATCGGCTTTGTCGATTTGTACCATAAACCAATTATCACTATCCTCAACAGTTCGATGTTTTTTGAAATGCTTTGAATTTTGAAAATCTGATCAGGATTTTTGGCGAAAACGTGTACAAAATATTTTACATTGTTTGTGAATTCTTAAGAAACTGCTCAGCTTATCGAGTTACATCAAATGGCTTTTAAATGTTTGAAATCGGTTCAACCGTTTTTGGGAAAACATCGACAAACTGACAAATTTTGGTTCACATGCACACATACTTTTTTTGAATTTTAGTGTCAATCGATTCAAAATCTAATCTGATTTTCTAGCGTTTTGTTAGAAGTTAAAAATAAATGTCAAATAAAATGATACATACATTTATGACTCATTAGAAATAAATTACGAATTGTTTATTCAAATATGCGTCTTTTGGTTTTAAGGCTTATGAGTCAAGTATTGTTCATTCAGTGAAAACAGAAAATTTGATATATTATTGAGTCCACTAAATAAACGAATATAATATTGAATTCCATCTAAGTAGTGGTTCGACGGTTTTACTTTGAAAACACCTATCGTCAAAAACAATCATGGAAATCTTTGATGGAAATTATAGGTCAAAATCTGTGATAGCTCTGTTGATTTCATACTATTATTACTTTCTCTATTGTATATATAGAGAAATATGTTTCATATAATATGCAAATGCTACAAAATATTTTCTCACTTTTTTCCACCTTTTCCACACGATTTTGAGTCATTTTTGTCGGTTGTGCCTAGATATCGAACTTGACTTAATTCACTGCCTTTTGTCAACTTGCTGGACAAGTTGATTAAATTCTTTAACTTGATCATTTTTGCAAAATAGAGGTGCAATCGGTGATTAACAATTGCTTGTTAATATTTTTTCTTCAATGATCTGGGAGACTTTATTTATAATTTTATAGATTCCATCCATTCACACTGAATCTTCATAGCCAAATTTACTTAAGCCTTCACTTAAATTAAAAAAAA